GCTGAGTCACCGCGCTGGCCGCGAGCCGCTCCTCCGCCCCCCGCCCCGCCCCTCAACCACGCCGCGCAGCCAGTCCCAGCTGGTTGCATCCGATTGCCGAGAACGTCCAGCTGGGGCTGATGGGCTCACAGCTAGGGCTGGGTTCCAGAACCTTTCAGAGGCCTGAGAGGGCGCGCAGTCCAGCCCCTTCCCCTGCTGGGGTCGCAGAGCCCCTTGCGTGTAGACACTTGTTCCCAGATGCTGTACAAAGAAGGACACACCCCCTGTGCACCTACGCGCGAACACACATCTCACACCCCAAGTTGGGTTTTCAGACCCATCCGCCGTTTGGAGGCCACCTTCGGGTTCTTGTATGAGTCACGTACCCCGCTGCTCCCTTCTGACTTTTTTTCTCTAAATTACCTCATTTCTTCAACTCAGATACGCTAACCTTCACAGGAAACCTGTTTCCCCTACGTGGAAGCGGGCACCACTTGTGATAAGTAGGCATGGTAAAAATCACGACAGGAGAACGGTATGGTTTTTGAAATGTATCTAGACAATGGGACACTGGACCCTCCCTTTTCAAAAGTATCACTGTTAAGGTTACACATTTCTGGCACAATAACACCAAGTTGATCACTTGTCCTTCAGTTCCATCAGGATTGAGGGCAATTTTAAAGGATTCCAGGACGAGCACCAACGTTGAACCCCATCTGTCCACCGGGCAACCCCTTTCTGGGGGTTCAGGCCCTACTCTGGGTCCCCCCATGGCAGTGATGGAGAAAGCTTCAGTGAGGATTGTCCAGGCGTTATTTCATAAAGACCCCTCTCCCTCCCCCAACGCTGGCTGAGCCGGCTGAGACTGCAGGGGAGCCAGGCCCCAGGTGGGGCCTGGGCTGGGCCCTGGGCAAGTTCTCCAAACGCCATTTAGAACAACTTTATACCAATTCGACTGGCGAACATTCCAAAGGGAGGGCTCCACCTGGAGGGCTCCAGGTGGAGCCCTCCCCACCCCAGCAGTGATTCTTCAGGGGCTATACAAAGCTTGAAAAACACCATCAATTGATAACTTTCTAAGTGGATAATGAAACGATCATTTCCTGACTGCACCCTCTGGGACTGGTGCAGGCAAAGGCGGTACAGGCAAGGACAGGCACTGTTCTGAGGCCGACAGTTCTGGACCCAGGGAGGGCTGGGCCGAGCCAGCAGCAAGTGCCTGGGCCTTAGAACAGGCTCCAGGTTCCCGCCCAGGGGGCTAGGACTTAGGGTCTCTGCCCCTCCCCCATTCACAAACCTCTTCCCTCAGGTCCTGCCAACACCCTTTTTATCCCTTAACACACAAAACCCTTTTCCTCTTTTTCTTCCAGAAGAGCTTCCTTTGCTCCTCTGACCTGAGCTAAAAGCAACCTGAAATTTGCCTCCCTCAGTTCTGAACGTCTGGTATTCAATGAGCTACATAGAGCCAAGAAAAAAACAAAGCAAAGAAACAGTTGCAATTTTACATCAAAAAAATAACCTGAACAGTTCCCTTCCTGCTACATTCTCTCTTTGCAGCAAATTCCACAGCCCTGACAAAGACAACACACCCCCATCTCCAAAGACACACTCACACAACCCTTTCACACACTGTCACACACATTCAAACACACCTGCACACACACACGCAAAATGCTAGGAACTGAAGTCTCACCAGGCAGCACTGAGGCCTTCTCCTCTGAGCTCTCCAGGGCCTAACAGGGACAGCCAGACCTCAGGGTCTTCCTGTGTAGGCAGGGTGCTAGGTCTGGACAATTGAAGGGGAGGGGAGGGGAGG